TAATAATAATAATAATAATAATAATAATAATAATATAATAATAATAATAATAATAATAATAATAATAATAATAATAATAATAATAATAATAATAATAATATTATTATTATATAATTCAATCGTTAGTTTTATTCGTTCCCTGCTTTCGTTATTCGTTCATTCATCCATCCTGCCATCCATCTATCCACCCATCCACCGGCCCGTCTTCCCGTCCGCCCATCCACCCACCCACTCACCCACCCAAAAGTGTCAATGGCGGGATTCGAAACTGTAACCTCTCGCTATCAAGGTGAGTATCATACCCATAAGACCACGGGGACAAGTCATGTTGTATCCTTGTATCACGAGCAGACAGTGGCGTAGCTAGGGGTCAAGGGGTGGGGGAGGGAACGTGCCCCGGGCGCCGGGCTTTTTAGAAAAACACGACGAAATTGATGTATGTCGTCAGGCATGAATATTTTCCAGTTAATAATAAGAATCTAAATGTAGTTGTTTTTATTGGCAAATTAATAGATTGTGATTTCTTTTCAGTCCATTTCGACCGTTTTCTCTTGTTTTGTATTCTATTCTGTAATGAATACATATGACTAAAGCTCATCCTGCCATATCTCAGAGCCACGATGGGAAAAGCGAGACTATCTGCTTTGGCACTACTTAGTATTGCGCGTGATGAAGCAGACAATATTGCTAACTTTGATCATGTTATTAACTTATTTGCTGATGCAAAAGCACACAAAATTCAGTTGCGAGTTTAAACAATGTTAAAAATTCAGCAACTTACAAGATTCTACAATAAGATAAATTCTTATAAAATGCGCTTTATAAAAAGAAAAGATAACAAGCAAATAATTTTGACTTAAACTACGGTACTTAAACTAAAACAGTTCAGAAAAAGCATTTGCGTCATCGGTATAAGTATCCAGAACAGGGCTCCACCCATCCCCACCGATGTCGACAACAACGTCGCTGTCACACCCGGGTGCACGAAGGCACTCCGTTAGGCAATGCTGGGCTCAGAACATCGTAATGCAGTTTCAATAGTAGGAAACAGGGTTGGCGCCAGGCCTCTCTTCGGGGATAGCTGCGCCCCCAACCCCCCCCCCCGGGGAGAAAAACCATAATTCGTTTGGGGGAGAAAATAATTATGTGTTTGTTTTTTTTTTTTAATTTTCGAGGCTTTCCCCCCCGACCACTTTCGGAAGGCTCTCTCTTCCTTGCTCTCGGGGGAAGAAAAACCACTAGCTACGCCACTGCGCGAGCAGATGATTTGGTATCTAGATACGGTACCGGTACGCCTCCAGTGATAAATAACGATATTAGTAATTATTAATATCTATATATACTTCAGAGGGTTGGGTGGAAAATGTTATTCCACTATTTATGAGGATGACATTCGTATAACAACAGACATTGGACACCTAGTCCAACCCTCTAATAATTATAGAATCGGAAAACTCCAACTATAGATAGGCCTATATAATATACAATATAATATATAGCCTAATATGATAATAATAATAATAATAATAATAATAATAATAATAATAATAATAATAATAATAATAATAATAATAATAATAATAATAATAATAATAATAATAATAATAATAATAATAAGAATAATAATAATCTCATCATCAGTTAACTGTTATAAAGGGCACCAGATGGCGCTTTGTATAATTATTAATAGAACACATATTGTTCGCCCCACGATCATCCAAAACCTGTGAAATTCCTACAGCAAACGGCAATCAAACATCCTGATCCCTTTCAGATTATCACCACTATGATGACGCTTTCAGCAATTATTATTCAGTAGGTTGATTCATGATAGATATATAAATTCATCAACATTGTGTCAGATGTTACGACTTATATTTTCTCCATCTGATTACAGATTAAACCGCGTTAGTAAAGTGATACACGTATATTGATTTTCAAATTTACCAAAAACAGTGATGGAAGAAATCGTTAGTCAAAAAAATACTGAATTATAAGTGGTGGTATTAGTGGTAAAGTTTCGATTGTATTTTTCGATAATCAAACACATTGAAATATAAAAGCTAACAGCGACTAATGTATTTGTAGTCACGACTCCAAACAGGTAAATACGTTAATACTTATTTATAGGCATTTTTTATATTTTATGCTGTCAGTATTATTAGTATCATACTTTTAGAACTGTTTTTGTTTTATTAATAAGAGTTTACTATTGTCTAATAGGCCTATATCACGGTTATTGAAAAAAGATCAGTATTTTAGTGCCAATTATGTACACATTCTCAAGATCAAGTTAAACAAATTATCTTAAAGGAAACTTTATTCAATCATTATTTTTGTTGCCTACTGATATTACGGAAATAATTAACATTGTAAACTACCTAAAAAACTCAAATTGCGAAGGTGCTGATCTAACTACCAATCGAATCTTGAAAAGCAAATTGTTCCCTTAGCAACTCACTTATCTTAGGCCTATGTCTTTAATCACTTCTATCAGGTATTGTATCAAATGCAACTAAGCAAATAAAATCATTCCTATTTTTGATAAGGGAGACAAAATGAGTTCTCAAATTATCACCCTATTTCCATCTTACCTTCTATGTCCAAAATTTTAG